GAGACACTGATCAGATGTGGAAAATGTTTAAAGATAAATTTTTAAGTATTCAATATAAACATATTCCTCAGAAAAAAAGGGTAGCTACAAGTGAAAAACCAGGTTGGCTCACAAAAGAGTAGAAGAGGTAAAATTAAAAAAAGCATCATAAAGTTAAGAAATATAAATTGACTGGTATGACAGGAGATTCAAAAGATCAAGGAAGTTAGTGAAACAGGAAATTAAAACATCAAAAAGGATGTATGAGAAAAGATTGGCTGAAAATGTAAAAATTACCAGTAAGGATTTCTTTAAATACATTAAGGGTAAAAAAGTGTTAGGTAGAACCTTTGAGGGATGATATAGGAATGCTTGCATATGATGATTATCAGATGGATGGATTATTAAATTTAGCATTTTCTTCAGTTTTTACTAATGAAGATTTAAGCAGTATTCCACATCTGGAACAGCTGATAGATGGAAACAAGATTGAACTAGATGGCTGCATTAATTCTTAGCTTGTTAAGAAAAAAATTATAAAGCTCCTGGGCTAGATAATATTTCTCCAAGGGTTTTGAAGGAGGTTAAAGATTGGATACGTGAGCCACTTAATACTATCTTTTGTCAGTCCTTGAATAGTGGGCAGGTACCAGAGGATTGGAAGTTAGCTAATGTAACTCCTCATTTCAAGGGTGGTGATAAAAATTGTCCCAATAATTTAGTCTTACATCAGTTGTGGGAAAAGTTTTGGAAAGTCTGTTAAAAGATGTTTTGCAAAATCATTTAACAAAGTTTAGAATTTTATTGGATAGTCAACAGGGTTTCACTAACATCTTGTCTTACAAATCTTTTTTAACATTTTTTGAAAAGGTTACTGCTTATGTAGATGATGTTACGGGTGTAAATTTGGTGTATCTGGAATTTCAGAAAGCATTTGACAAGGTGTCACATAAAATGATTGTAAAAAAAATTCACTCTCTCTAGGTGTGGGGGATAAATTGGAAAGAAGAAAGCAGAGGGTTGTTACAAATGTAGTTCAGTCAAACTGGATTAATGTCACAAGTGAGTTACCCCAGGGCTCAGTCTCAGGACCTTTGCTCCTTTTGATTTATATCAATGACACAGATGAAGGGATAGTCAATAAATTACTTAAATTTGCAGATGATATTAAGGTCTTGGGTGTTGATAGCTGTGAAGAGGATGCTGCTGATTTACAAAAGGATTTAGATCATTTAGTGAGTTGGGTAAATAAATGGCAGATGGGTTTTAATTATAACAAAATCCAAGATAATGCGTGAGGGTTATCATAATTTGAATTACAAGTATAATTTGGATGGGAATAACCTTAATAGTGTTAAGAAGGAAAGGGATCTTGATGTAATAGTTGATCAGTCTCTAAAGTCATCCAAGCAGTGTGCTGTTGCTAGTGGTAGGGCAAATATAATTTTAGGTTGTATCTACAGAAATATTGAAAACAAGTTGAAAGAGGTTATACTATTCTTGTATAGGTCACTGATTAGGCCACATTTGGAATATTGTGTTCAGTCTTAGGCTCCTAACCTTGGGAAAGACATTGAATTGATGGAGAGGATTCAGAGAGGGTTACTAGAATGGTGCCTGGGATGGAGGAGTTGTCTTTCAAATTGTTTTCTCTTTAAAAAAGAAGAATTAGGAGGGATCTGATTGGGGTGTTTAAGATTGTAATGGGAATTGGTAGTGTTTACGCATCATCTTTTTCTATATTTAACAGTGAGAATAGTAGGACTAGGGGACACAAGTATAAATTTTGGAAGGGTAGGAGTCATCTTCAGCTAAGACAATTTTATTTTTTAACAGGGTGGTTGGTCTTTGGAATGGGTTTCCTTCGGATGTTCTGGAAACAGAAATTTAAGTGAGTTTAAGAGAAAGCTTGATAAGTATATGAATGATAAGGGCTGGCTTTAAGATTTTTTCTTTAAATTTATTTATTAATAGTTTTAGTTTAGTTTAGAGGATGGAACAGCCGAGATGGACCAATAGGTCCCATGTTGTCCCAAAACATTATGTTATTTAGTTTTCATGAAGAATATACCAAAATTAATCAAAGTTTCTTTATTTTAAACAGAAAATTTTACCATAGTGTTATAAAGTTGTTCTGCTTCTTCTGTACTGGAAGACATCAAATATACAAGTACATCATAAGGTAAAAAAATAAAACAAATTCTAATATTAAGTCACTGGTCTAGTGTGTCATGTTTGCAATTAGTCTGAACATATTTATTACTTGTCCCAATCTATTGTGTTAGTGTTAATTAACGTGAAGCCCTGACTTAATAACATATATGAAACTGGTAAAATCATTACTAGTCTGGAAATTAATTAATAAAAGAAGAATCAGAACAGTTTATACTGTTATTGGAAAGTATGGTAAGAGTACTAAGCAAAATGAAATATTATAAACAATGAAAATTTACTGCATACTGCAGAACCAAAACTAATTTTTTTATATTTTCTTATCACAACACTTCCAACAAAAGGTAGTCTATACCACATCACCTATTAATTTACAATGGCTTATTAGGTCTTGCATAAGTAGTATATTTTTTATGAAAAATAAATTTTAAAATCTGTCACAAATTGACCATAATATATAATTGGCAAAGCACCTGTATCAATCTGAAGATTTTTATGAAAGTAACAATTACATTTTACTGTGTTAATCTAAAGATTTTCATGAAAGTAACAATTACATTTTACTGTGTTAATCTAAAAATGTTCATGAAAGTAACAATTACATTTTATTGTGTCAATCTAAAGATTTTCATGAAAGTAACAATTACATTTTACTTTGTTAATCTGAAGATTTTCATAAAAAGTCACAAGTGCATTCTACTGTGTCAAACTAAAGATTTTCATGGGAGTAATAATTATATTCTATTGTGTTAATCTGAAGATTTTCATGAAAGTAACATTTATATTATTCTTTGTAACAATTATATTCTACAGTGTCAATCAAAAGATTTCTAAAACAATAAAAATGAGCATTAGAAAATCTTTATAAACAACAATGACCCCCCCCCCTTTTTTTCTTACAATAAGTTTTTTGTTCTTCTCATGAACTTCAGATCTGGCTGCAATAATATCCTGCCAGATATCATCTTCTATTACTGGGTTAACAGGAGCTCCAATATTGTATTCCATCAAAGTTAACAGCTTCTCCAATGCCTGCAAGTTTTTGTGAGAAAAATATCTATGAGTGAATTAAATATGTAGTAACTAACACTATGAAGTGCAGAAAATTTAATCTTTTGTAATAGTATTTACTAATGCATCTTTTACACGTGACAATGTGTCACATTACGATGCAACATTAATATTAAAACTATGCAATATACTGTAGATTTAATCAGTAATAATACACACAGCAATATAGCTATGTATTTTATTTTATTTAAAAATATTCTTTTTTTGATAAACCTGACTATTTCCCATAAACTTCTGTTTGAAAAATCTTAAAAAATCACATATACTCAATTCTGCTTACATAAGTAGTACCATTTAATATTTTTACTATATACAATTTATAAAATACATCAAATGTCTGACACAAAATTGGCCACAAATAAAAAGAGAAAATTTTAGAATTAAAAGAATAGCTATTTCAATTAATACTTCATATAAATATAAACAAAGTTCACCTTACATTAAAAATATTTCAATACATTAGTTGATTACGAATTAATAGCTTCAATAACTCATCTGAAAAATTGTGCTTCCCTTGAATATGACCTAAAACCACCATTATGGGTATTTTTGGTAATTTTTTTTAAACCATTTCATATATTTTATGAATGTTCTATTAATCTGTGTAACAATAGACAAAAATAAATAAGACCTCAAATGTGCAAGAATGTCTATTTAATTCTATTGTTGTAAGCTATATTTTCAGTGTTTTAACACAGATGTTTGCTAGAGGGTGAATGACATTAAGATCATGAAAGATATGAAGGAGAAGCTAGGGAAAGATATAAATATGAATAATTAGTAATGATTAAGTCGGTTGAGTTCAGTGTCAGAAAAGTTATTCATAGTTAGTCATATGAGTTGTCACATATATTCAGTTATTCAGTGAGTTAGCATGTTTATCAATCAAAGCTAAGTAAGATAGGTCTACATTAGTTTTGGAGTTTATGTTGAAAAATGTATTTACGAAATTAGGCCAATAAGTGAATGTGACTTTATCAAATGCTTATTGAAGAAATAAATTAATACATTATTGTTACTTGAGCTAGACTTATCACTATTTTTACCAACTAATCCAAAAGAACCCACCCAATGATAGAACACATTATAACAATATTTATATTGATAATATCTTAATTCAAAACTCCACCTTATAACTCAGTTTGAAAATGTTTTCTTTCTAGTAACTGTTGTAATAACACACAATTGTATAATACAAAATTTAAAAAGTCTAGCTAATACTCATAAACTGTACATAATTTCTCATTTTAATGTCTGAAACTACAAGTTTAAAATAATGTGCAAGTAATGGTAGCACTGAAGATATCACAATAATTAGTTTTAAATACATTCTTGTTTATATTTTAGCATTTTAAAAATTATGTAGGTACGACAACATAGTTATTACGACCAATGTTAACTAAATATTTTCTTTCTGTAACCTTATTTGGTTTCAAAAGTAAACTGGATATTTCATGTCGATTGAAAATATTTGACAAACTAATATAAAAGATTTTTTAACAGAAGTCATAAAACTCAATATGAAAAGCATATCTAAAGACATGTTATATTAGTGTAAAACAAAACATTGTTTTTGCATAAATATTTCACTTATAAGATAAGCAACGACTTATAAGTTGAACTAACCTTATTAAGTTTTGGCTTTAGTTTATTAGACCTTGCTAAGATCTTAAATAATCTGAACAGATGAATATGTCACATTCACTTAGGGCATTTTCCAATATACTTGATGTATTTGTTGTTCTTAAATGTTATTTCATCCGCATCAGCAACTTTCTTATAGAAAAACTGATGTAACTTTGCTTACAACAAGGACAAAGAAACTGATAAACTACATTTGATGTGTTCAATGAAGAAATATGATCTTTATATCTGAAGAAATACTGCAGACAACATGCAGGTTTAAAAAATGCATCTTAGTTGTACATATGCATACACTACAAGGTAGGAAGCTAAGTTTTTTAATATACAAAAAATACATTCTAATATATATATATATATGATAAGATCATATAAACTGGACACTTAGGAACTTCTTAAATCAGTAGTTTACTAGTTTTGTTTGTTCAAAAAAAATCCAAATTATTCGACCAATCATGTAAATAGCAAAGTCATTTTCACATAGAAAATATCTGATGTTACAAAGTTCTTTATGCATAAATACATTATTACTTGAGATTGTATATACAAGAAAAACTAAAATATTCATATAAGATTTTCTTACATAGTTGGTATATAACTTGTAAAATTAAAATAAATGCCAGCAAATGTTTTCTTATGGTAAACTTCTCATTCAACATTATTGACATAATTATTAATAAATGTATCAAAAAATGCAAGTTTGTGGTCTTGTTGATGTTAAACAGTAAATCTAATACTTTAACATTTACTGTTCAAAATAGTCCGAAAACTGAGTAATGTGGCTTCAGTTTATAATAACAGCAGAAGTACCATCAACATACATCCAATAATATCATGATTTAAAAGACTGTGGACAATCATCCAACCATTGTTTTTCATGTTTCTGTTGCTGGATTTCATTCAAAGTTACTCAAGGGCTACCTGCTAAATGTCCCTATTTTTTAAGTGATAGACAAGATGGAAGGCAGCTAGTCAACATCATACACCACTAACTCTTTGGGTACTCTCTATTAATTAATAGTGGGCTTGACCATCACAATATAATACCCCCCCCCCTCCCACAGTTAAAAGGGTAAGCATACTAAGTAGCATGTTTGGATCCCATGTCTTGCACATTGTGAATCGAGCACCCTAACCACTAGGCCATGCCAAACCTTGTATTCCATGAAAAACAAGAAAAATATTAGCTACAGAAAGAACCACTTTAGACATAACCCAAAGCTACACTATCAGTTTTATCATTAAAGATTACCCATTGAACTGAAAGTGTGATTCTTTAGATGCAAAATTCATTAAAATTGTCTTTAAAAATAAAGGCTAGACATTACTATATTGTTAATATACAAGCACTAAATATAAAAAAATTGCATAATAAACCTTACAATCAAACTTTAAATTTTGAATTTCACCTTACTATCTATATACTACTAAAACTCTGAGATTGCCTGCTTGTCTGTAATTAAATACAGCAAAAACGGTGCACAATAGCACCATATTTGTAATGAAATGAGAATAGAAACAAAATGAAACAAGTTTAGTTAAAATCGGGCTACGGGTTACCGATGTTTTTCGGGTCACTTTTATGAACATTTTTAGTACGAGTAATTTTACATCACACTACCGATCGTGCTCTTTACGAAACTTTGTTCAAATATATTTCCCTGTCAATGTTCCCATCTTCTTTGAAAAATGAAATGGTATTTCCTTTTACTCCCAATCAACAATCAAATATCTTTTCTTGAATTCTGAATAACACGAATGGATTGAAATATTGAAGTAAATTATCTCAAAATAAACCTTCATTTCGGTGCAATATTGAAATCAGCTTGAATTCTTTATAACCTCTGAATAGTGGGTGACCCAACGGGTCACAGTAGTCTAGTCAAACTTTAAGTTTTGATTTTCATTAGAAAATTCAAAACTGTCTTTCAAAATATATTAATTAGTAGCATATTTCTTCAGGAGAACAGCTAAAACATCTTCTGAAGCATTATTATAAGTTCCAATAAATGAAACTATAGATCTTAATGGAAATTGTTCTTTGTGTATTTTTAGGAAGGCTACGGAAAAACTCTTGATGACTAACTACCTTGTGGTCTAATTTCTCAATATTGTGCCTCAGTTAGCAAATCTTTCTTTCATTTTGATAGATATCTTTATAATTTTATCTATCCAGAGTCAGTACAATCTTGATCAAGCTTTACAAATTCAGTTTAATCACTAAAGACATTACCAACTTTACATAAATATTATGTTTCATCCAAAATGACTACACAATTACCTTTACCTGATTTAGTAATAACTATGTTATTTTTACTAAGCTTTTTAAAGCTGTTAAAACTTCATTAGCTATATTTAAAAGTTGATAAACAGTTACAGCTATTGAAAGAAGCTAAAGTTATTCCACTAAACTTGAGTTCAGTATTACTGACAGATTCTCCAGATTTATGCCAAACTGTTCGTTAAGACAATAACTACGTAAAATGTTCAAAGTGTAAAAAAACAGTCATAAAGTTTTAACTTACTAGGTAAACTGAATTTTAAGAATGCCAAATAACTAAAGTGTGTTGGAGCACACACTAGGTGAGAGTCATACAGTCACCGATTCAAAAACTGAAGACAAAATTCAATCAGGTAGTTCAGCTTGTAAGTTGTTGTTTATAAGTTAAAAGAAAAGGGTCTTCAAGTTTTTTTTTTATTACTTAAATATTTTACTTCTGGTACACACCCTTTACGTGAAGTACTAGCTTTTACTGGTCTTGGCTATTTACTTGAACCACATTTAGCATATGCCACTTTGAAAATTTAAAAAAAATGTTTCATAAACTCAACTAAGAAGTGAGAATAAACTCAATTTGGGGAAAAATAATTCAAGCATCATTGGAATTATTTTTTCCCTCGTGTCCTAAGATCATATTTTATTTACCTGAAAATGCATTTCCCATAGATACCTACCTCTCTGCACCCAGCAGCTATTTTTGGCATGCCTACAGTTGAGATTTTGCACACACTACTAGCCTTGAGCTATCTCCTACCTAAAACACGTTTTGACACAAACTGTTCTAGTATAATGTAATCATCATGTGGAAATAGCCCTCCACAATAGGAGGTCAACACATTCTCCATGTGCAGTAGATCCCCATAAGCACTTACACTTGAAATTAACTTCATTCTTAGACAAGGCAAGAATAATGTGCACTGGGCATGGGGAAGAAGGGTGGGAAGGTGTGCAGACGAAGTATCTACAAGAAATACATTTTCAGGTAAGGAAAATGTGAACTTCTGAAATAATCCATTGACTTCTCTGCACACAATAGTTAAAATCCTACAGCAATGTGGTGGAGGAGATTGTGCAAACAAGAAACCTAGAAGAGCCTCCCTTCAGAAGGAGAAAGCCTATGGAGCATCACACTCAATAGCAGGGGCTTACTAGAGGGGCAACATTTATGGGATATGGCATCCTTCTCAGGTAGGATATACTTTTCACCTGGATGAAAGCATGAAAGTAGGAAGACAAAAACGAGCCAATGTGTTGCAGTGATGGGCAATAAAAATACATACAGACAAACCAAGCTTTTGCACACAACACACTGGCTGGACATGAGATGTAGTGTGGCTAGTACAATAATTAGACTGTATGGTTTGGTATGTGTTGTACAATTTTCTCATCATACATATAGGAATGGGGATTAAGAGGATCCTGTCTCCTGAAAAGAGCACCTTGTCCCACCCAGCTCATCAAAAATACTAAGAAATTGGCATACAATAGAATAGGGGTGACCTGCACTACACTGACATGGACACCCCTGCCCTACTTCCCACTGTATTGGGTTGTTCACTTGAATTCTTTCTGGGTGGATTGCATAACTGGTGAGTTGACCAGCCCAGCATCTAGAAACTTGGCATGGAAAGTTTCCCATGTTCCACTTAAAGACAGGGAAGTGGATTTGCATTGGGGAGACTACACTGAGGTACTCAGACCCAATCAGACCTAACCACTGCAAAGATCTTTTACTGGAGAAAGTTAAATGGCCTATTACAAGACCTATTTTGAAAAGCCAACATGCATGAACCTGGTAAGTGGGGAGGCACTTCCCTGGTACTGGTTTATTCCATGATAGTCCATGGAAGGTACAGTCTGGAATGGACATGTACCACCATAGTTGTCTTGCAGAAAATCCCACCTCTACAGTGGGAACATAGGAATGAAAGAGTAATGTAGAAGGTGTGAGCAGGAACAACCTCAATGACAAAAGAAAAAGAGGTGTCTAAAATATCAATCACTGGAGAAGAGAAACTCAAGACAGAGTTGGCCAATAAGGTGCTAGCAACAGGACTATACAAGGATTGTTGTGGAACATCACCAAAACACGTAGGTGAAGGCAGATAGCACAGAACATATACAGAAAAGATCAATACAGGCTGAGGTTGTCCACAACTAAAGCAGCCAGATGTGGGATCGGGGACCAAAAGAGCTGAGGTGACCAAATACTCCATGAATCATAGACAAAATGGAGAAGAATAAACCCGAATGAGGCACAAAGAGAAAAGGACTCTGGGATGGATGAAATATAGAGTCAGGAGCAACCACAAAAATAAGACCAGCCATCCCAGACTAAAAGTCTCTCAGAGGAGAAGGGATGTGGCTGTAGAAAAGGTTTATAGAATAAAAGCAAAAAGTAGCCAAATGTCCAAAAAGGAATGAAAACAAAGGCTCAAACTGTGGATATGGTGAGCAAAAGCCCTCATGACTTGGATGAATATACAAGAGCAAAAATCATATCAAATGATAGGGCCCAATACTGTTATAGCATATCGTAGTGGACAAACCAAAGGAAACTTTGTGATTATGGTGCTATTGAAATGAGATAAAAAGATATCCAAAACATGGGCCATCTTCATCCAAAGACTGGGGGAAAAACTATTAAGAAGAAACCCCTTCATCTAAAACTGGAGAGTCATCAGAAGTGGTTCAGCAAAGAATGAGAAGGGAATGTCAGACCCCAGTATTCATGGGAACAATGAAGAGATTGGAATAGTAATCCAGGGAGGGACAAGTGACTCTCTCTATGAGATTCAAAACCAAGAGCTCTGACATTGTGTCCTCAAGACAGTGGAGGTGCTGAGGATCAGAAGGTGGAGGAAAAACAGTAGATAAAAGGGGAAGAGGATGAAAAGATGTGAAGAGAGAGACAATGGGTAAGAACCTGAGTGACCCAATGGTTGTCAGCAAAGTGAGTCCAAAGGTTAGCAAAAACGAAAAGAAGTGCCCCATAGGACCTAAGCTGACTGGGTAAAAAGGGAGGTATTCACTGGTGGGACAGACAAAGGCAAACTCTCTGGAAAAGAAGATGGCAAGAGTAGGTATAGAGGTGGGAAGAGGATTAGGGTACATGGGCCAAGGAACACAAGAGGATGCATGGGAATGGGCAAGATGGGAAAGTAAAGAAATGAGAGAAAATTTACAGCAAGCAGCTTCTCAATAGATAAATTAATAGTTTTGGCATATGATGCCATAATATCTGAGGCACTACTACAATACAGATTGCTAGGTTATTGCAAAGAAAACTTTTACTTGGATTTTAGCCTAAACATATTTTGACTAAACAATCAAGCCATAACTGTTCCATTTTTAACTCATATAAATTTAAGAAAATAATTTTTGGCACTAAAAGGCTTTACAGAAATAACATTACATTTTTCAATTACCATGTGAAAATGTTGTTTAACAGTAAAATTTCAGAATTTAATAGTTTCTGCACACATAAAGTAATGAACTGACATATCTGAGTGTTTATGTAAACTTTCACTCTTTTCTTGAGTTCCTATAGTGGTAGCTAATAGTAAAATTTTACAAAACCAGTTACAGATGCTTGTAACTTACTTACTTTGTCAAAAACTGAAAACAATGATTAAAGAAACATTCTTTGATAACAAAACTTAAAAGAATGAGTGTTTACTCCATCTAACAATAAACAGACACCCTCAATTTTGAAATAAAACAATAAATGACATGCGCAATCAGGAAAAGATTGTTATAACATGTTCAAGCTATTTTAATAAATTTAAGTTATCTATAAGAAAATTAAATATTTTACATTCTCGTACAGATGAAAAAGTCCGAATTTAACTCTAAACTTTTAGTAGCTTAACCTTCATGAGTCGCTTCATTTATGCGTACCTGTATGTATTCTTCTTGACCATCAAGAATGGCTTGTGTCACATGTGTAACCACACAGGTTGCTGACTCTACCATACACACACACGCTTGTTTAATAAGGAATTCGTGAGAAAGAGGGTTCAAACTGCTTCCAGAAACATCTTTTTCATCCTTACTTGATAATGATATGAGCAAATTGTCAGAATAACAAAAAATTGTTGCAATAAAAACATTTCATCAACATCATCATGCTGTGCATGTACTTGAGCTAGTATTTCAAAATCTAATAACCACAATTTCTTCCAAAATTACATACATATTCAAGGGCATTTTACACAAGGCACATTTTTATTTAGAGTGCAACGAATTTACTTGGCAAAAAATAATATTAAATTTTCTTCATAATTATTGAAGTAGCTGCACTTCGAATTTTCAACCTTTCTATCAAATAGATAAATATGTTGCAAGATCTTTTAAAAAAGTAATTCATATCAAACTAATTACTTTTTGCAGGAAATGAATTAATCCTAAAAATGTTCTTTCAAAATCGATTGCTTTATTCATATATAATCTTCCACTGTTACTTTATATTATTTTACTTCATACCAGCTAGATTACTTACTTTTTGCTCTTCAGAAATGTTGGTACAAAGGGCTACAAGACACATGTTTACTGTACCAAACTTTAAAATTTTCCCGGGTACTGCATGTCCTGGGAAACTCCTAAGAAACATTCTTAGCATTCTATAAAGAAAGTGTGAAGGGAAAATAGGAACAGAATTAACATCATAAATAAATAATAATTCAAGTTTACCTCTGCTATTGGCCAGCTACAGAATGAGTATCTGGAAAAAATATAGAGATAAACAAAGGAAAGTCTGGAGAACTACTTATCAGATATAGATTTATTATTCAACTGATATCATGCACATTAAGGAATAAAATGCATCTTGATTTCATAATTATCAACTCAAACATAAATACCTGAGGATGCATTTCAATTATTACAATCACACTACAAGTTAATGCATACCTGAAGACTGGAACTGATAAGTAAGGTACTGTACAGGTAATTTAATGGAGGGTGGTGGAGATTTCCGATTCATTATACTTTTAAAAAAAGAGTGAAGGTCCATTACAAAAAGAACCAAATATAGAGGGGCTTATTGCACTTGAGAAAAACATTGTGCATACACTAATGCTTGTTTCATTGAATTTTTCACAAAGCTACTCAAAGGCTATTTGTACTAGCCGCCCCTAATTGTTTTTGAACTGAGAGACTAGAGGGATGGCAGCTATTCAAAACCACTCACTGCCAATTCTTGGGCTATTCTTTACAAACCAAATAGTAAGATTGCCCATCATATTATAATGTCCCCATGGCTGAAAGGGTGAGTATGTTATGTGACAGGATTTGAACTCTTGACCCACAGATTATGAGTTGAGTGCCCTAACCACCAAGCCATGACAGGCCTACTACACTAACATAATGGCATTATTGCAGATGCAAAACATGAAATCATATTCAGTAACTATACATATGGTTCACAGTGATTTCCCAATCATTCTACAGTACCATGCTACCACAGTTAAATTTATGGTTGGAGGTATTTGTCATAACAATTTATAGTAAAAGATATTTGTATAGAAAGATCAATAAAAAATAAAGATGCAAAGGACATAAATTTTGATGAAAAAAACCATCAATATTTTCCAAAGAAAAAAATCACATGGCACTTAGAGCAGTAATGGACTCTGAAGCCACATTCCAAACCAACCCTAAGCAACATCATCTGCTAAGTGAAGGCTATGGTTACAAAGGGGAACCATCCAAGCTCAAATGCCACTGTTAAAAAGATAATAAGCACAGATTTAGGTATAACAAGGACTCAGAAAAACCTTAAAACTGATGGATGATTTCATGAGAAAGATGGCCAAAAAAGCTAGAATTACAGCAATCTCCATTACTAGATACTTGTTAAGTGTCCCAATACAGTTCCAATGAACTTTTATGTGTTTGATTAGCTTAAACATGGTCTTGGATGTGGTCAAAAGATTGACCCCATAGAACTCTGAAGATATTTGTTTAATTGCAATTGTAGTGAAGGGGAAAAATTAATACACAAACAATTCAAATTACAATGGGTTTTGGTTGGCACGATTGCACTGACAGAGGGTAAAAAAATAATTTTGAATTACTACACTGTGTATGACATACAATACTACTTAGGATAACATATCTTCTTATAATGGTTTAGTTTATCTGTTATTCCATTTAGCTATACCCAGAAACAACAAAGAGCATCATATACGAATGGCAGTAATTCTTTACTGATGAACTCTAAACTAATCATACCTGTGATCATTTTAGTTAGCTTGGAGTATATGTTAGAAATGAACCTTTAAAGTGCTATATTAAGAAAATATAATATGTTAATGCTTAAGCCTAATATTGTTAAAGTTAAAAAATCAATGATAAATGTTTCAAAACTTCCAAGAAAAACAAGTGTATATCATCAGCTGACACCTTTCATATACTTTAGTTTAATTACTTGGATAGTTAGAATAATCAGAATCAGTAAAACCTGGAAAAACTAATTTTGATTTGTTCATTATATTTGTGACATTAACCAATTTAATTGTAACTTTGGTTAATCATCCAGCTTTATCTAGTAACAATAATAACAACATAAGAATAAAAAAGATGGGAAAGATGATACATCACATAGAGATTATTCAGTCATTCTCTGAATAACAATAAACACCAAGCTAAGTTAATCCTTTAAATAGGAAAGACATTATGGGAAATATACATATTACAAGGTAATGCTCCCACATTATACAACTTTTTTATATATTTATATACATCACACTGTATGTGATCTCTTAGTTCTCTCATTCACTCACAGATGGCATAAAACTCAACTTTGGTAATAAATTACATTTTGAACTTGTAAGTCCTTTGACAAGTGTCAAAAACATGGTCACTCCCATTAAATGCAGATGTGAATTAAAATATAATTAGTGATATATATGAAGATTCATCTGACAAAACAAGTGAAAGTTGAGAGGAATTGATTTCTTTGTGAAGGTAAAATCACTCAAAAACACTCTGAGCACCATGACAAGTGAATTTTGATGGATTATAATTTTCAAGCATATTTCAAAGAGTATTCTAACAGTCTCATTCATTTTCTTTATATACTTTTCTTCAATTAATTTTCCAAATTTTTTATAAGGATCATAAAATTAAATGAGGAGGATTATTTAGTGTAATTGTCAGAAATGAGCTTAATATAGTAAATTCCCATTCCTCTCTTGTTTTTTTTTCACCTAAAACATTTAGACATAATGCTATATCACTTTTGATACTCTATATACTATTGAGAAAATATACTGCTATGGATAAATAACAATTATTCAAGGTATATTAATTTTCTGTATTTCTAAAAGTAAAATACCACAGGAAACATATGTAAGTAGATGGTTCTAAAAAATACATATATATATATATATATATATATACATCCATTTCAAAATATCAGTTAACATGACAAGAACACAAACAATGTGACAGGGCTGACTTAGGTTCAGTAAAATCATGGGGGGAGCAAGAAAGTGTTTCAGTTGAGACACCCTTTGTTGTTTCTCATAAATTATAAAAAAAAAATGTTTTCAGGCTTTCAAAGTCAGGGTCGCCAAAGTTCATTCTGCACCCTTGTACTCTGTACTCACAGAACTGCTAATACACAATAATATATTTAAGCAAACCTTTGCTTTTGTTTTTTTACTATGTTTACCCAAGAATATCACATTTAAGGCAGAACTTTATGCAGCATGTGCCTCTGAGGCAGACAGAGCATCCAGTTTTTCTGCTTACAGAGATTTCACAAGGAAGAGAAATACAATACAATTGGATCTACAAAAATTATTATTCTTTTTTTTGGAACTGAACCATAGTGTTTTCGAGCCTTTATCTGTGGTCAAATTTGAACACCCTTTGCTGTAATTTAGTAAAAAAAAAAAAAAAATATTCATTGTCAAAAAGGTTCCCCAAAAAAGTGCAGGAATGCCATTCCAGCTATCAAAATAAGTGCTAGAATGGTGTTCCACTATAACTCAAGTGCAGGGAAGGTCTGTGCACATCCTGATAATGCACATGAACTAATACTGAACAAGAGAAAATATAAATTTTGAGATATTTAAATTTAATGTACACGTCGAGTTCGATATTAAGAAATTCAATAATGAACAACATATTTCGAACCCTTTCTGAAGTTGTTAAATTTAAAATGAAAGGTGATTTCCGTGTAAATACTTTAAAAGAAATATTTAAAAAAAAAAAGACACAAATTACCAAAATCTACTGGGTAATTTATGAGAAACTATCCTGCAATATTTGTATTTTTCATCAATATTACAATTTACATGTACAACTATACAATGGAACATAATGATATACACAATGTTACAAGTACAAAACGCATGTTTTGCTGTGCATTACTGAGTTAGTCACCCAAATCAGAATCATAAAATTCTGAAAGATCTATAGGGAAATTTACGCTTATAGTTACACTTACTACTCGTCTACCTTTTTAATTTCTTTAGAAAGTATGTCATTACTTCACCTTTTTTGAAACTTGTTAGCAAAGTAAGCTAGATAACGCGCACTAAAACCGAGCATCGAAGTTGCCATTTCTTAGTGACCTCTACAATTGTTTTAAAACAAAATTTTAAAACTGGATAGAAATTATTACTGTTTAAACGCCGAAAGCTAGCGAGGAATTGGAAACAAATAGGCTTAAAATTGTGATGAAAATCATGTATCTGCAAGTGCTTTTAATCAGTAATATGGATTTAAAAATCTGTAGTTTACATAATTCTTATACATATTTATTTTTGTTTATTTTGTGTAGTATTCATTCTAATTGTGGTTTAATGTATAATTAATTACCAATAAAGCAATTTGTATTTTAGTTTAGTAGTTTTGTCATTTTTCGTTTTGGGGTGAGTGAGCTCTAGTGAAAATGCATAGAGGTGAATAATATCGGAAAAGGTTGAGAAGCACTATTCTATAAAACTCAAAGAATATGATATAAAAGTCTTGTTCTAAGGATGCGATGTAAAGTTCTAGCATATTCGATTTGAAAACTTAAAAAAGACGTTCCATGAATAATTAATTAGTTGAGTGGGGTTAAATAGAAATGAGTTGTTTCAAGAGTGGATTAATAAGTTAAAATTTACATTGTACAGTATAGTTAAGAAGAGTAGCTAAAAACTTAAGCCTACAAATTGCTTGCTTGTTTGTTTATTTTGAATTTCGCGCAAAGCTATACAAGAGCTATCTGCGATAGCCATCCTTAATCTAGCAGTGAAAGCCTAGAGGGAAGGTAGCTAGTCATCACCACACACCGCCAACTCTTGGTCTACTCTTTTACTAACGAATAGTGGGAGTGACCGTCGTATTATAACGCTCCCACGGCTGAAAAGGCGAGAATGTTTGGAGGAACGGGAATTCGAACCCGTGACCCTCGTATTGAGAGTCGAGCACTCTAACCATCTAATCATGCCAGGCCCCTACAAGTTGCAACAGATTTTAAGCTTCTAATAACGTTAAAAGAAGAAATAAATTGTTTTCGTTTAAGTGTGATGGATGTTGAATTATTTTCACCTGATAATTTGAAAGAACCACTTCACAGCAGTAAATATGATGTTTATAGAGAAATTTTACCGTGTGTACATTCGCGAAGAATTAAAATTAATTATATTTGTCATAAGATATTGTTTTTGTTTTTTAAGAAGAAGAAGAAAAGTATAATAGTATTTCAACCACACTCTGCTGCCATATACATTATTGACGAGGCGTTTCGCTCAATACACAGCGTGGTCACAAGTAAATAGACACCACCTTTTCAGAAAAAATGAAAATTTTCAGTCATATTCACATGAATTGATATATTTATAATTTAATTAATATCTAGTAGATCTTCCTTTCGCTTCGTGGAGTTCATTGATCCTTTGGGCCATCGTGAGAATCATCTCGTCAATTTTAGATTGTTGGATTTTCGCCTACTCTTGCTTCAAAACTTGGAGTAGATCGCTCATCGAAGTTGGTTTTTTTGGTTGTTTCTTGACTTGCCGGTCGAGTATGGCCCAAAGGTTTTCGATGGGGTTCATGTCAGGAGATTGGCTCCGCCAGGGCAACTTCTGGATACCATTTTCTTCCTGCCACTTTTGGTTGTTTCAAGCAATGTGACACGTTGCTCCATCTTCCTGGAACAACGTTGTGTTCTTGTCCACGAAATCCGAGGAATCAAGTGGCAAGAGTCCTTCCTCCAATATTTCGACGTATTTCGCAAAATTTATGTTGCCAACGTACTCCACTAAGCTCGATCTCCCACCAACCCAATCAGCTCGCCATACCATCACGCTGAAACCACCATGCTTCACAGTTGGCTGCAATCAGTTGAGCCAAAACTCTTGGTGAGGCATTCTCCAGACCCATATCCTTCCACTGTCCGAAAATTGAGCGAATCTTGATTCGTCTGAGAACAATACGGTCTTCCAAAAGTCTAGAGGCTTGGTCATCATATCACTTGCCCACTTCTTTCGTCTGACTATGTTAGTAGGTCTTAATAAGGGCTTCCGTCTAGCTGCTCTGCAATGATAACCCAATCTGTGGAGAATCCGTTGAACAGATTTCGGGCTCAGCCCACCAACTTTGGCCACTTCTGCAGTCGTTAATCTGGGATCTATTTCGATGCTCCTCTTTACAGCCCTTTTCGTCCTCTCCGATGGACCAGGACGACCCGGACGTTGCTCAGTTGTTTCCTTGCCGTGTTTCCTGAACTGCACGATTATTCTGTTGACTGTTGAAAGCGGGATTCCCGAATTCTGCGAAATTTGCCG